TGTGTGTGTGTGTGTGTGTATGTGTGTGTGTGTGTGTGCATACACGTGCATGCACCCAAAATCTCAGGAAGAAAATGAAGAAGGGATTACAATGTGGCCATGCCCCTGGGGCGGAGGTGGGGAGTGATTTCTCACTTTCCCTCTCTCTGTCTTCTCTGGAGAACACATATGCCCTATGGCAAAAACCCCAAAAATAAAAATTAAAAAAGCTCTATTTCATGTACTGTGGTTGTCAAATGAGACCATACTATTGAGTTGTTGGAAAAGTGATGACATATTTTGCACCCAAAATCTCAGGAAGAAAATGAAGAAGGGATTACAATGTGGCCATGCCCCTGGGGCGGAGGTGGGGAGTGATTTCTCACTTTCCCTCTCTCTGTCTTCTCTGGAGAACACATATGCCCTATGGCAAAAACCCCAAAAATAAAAATTAAAAAAGCTCTATTTCATGTACTGTGGTTGTCAAATGAGACCATACTATTGAGTTGTTGGAAAAGTGATGACATATTTTTTGTCTGTCTTTCAAGGTCATTCATTTATATAAAGAACAAAGATCAATGATATATTGCCTGTTTTGTCTGATAACCTTTTTTTTTTTTTTTGGAAAGGTTTTCGCTATAGGGCGCAGGTGCTCGCCAGACAGACAGAGACATTAGAGACAGAAAGCGAGAAATCACCCCCCAGGGGAGATGGTCACACTGCAATCCCTTCTCCTCCATTCTCCTCTCAGGATCTTGGGCATGCACACACACACGCCTGGCGTGAGTTTCAAGCCACCGGGCCCGGGACGTGAACCGCGGTCAACTACGTGGGAGTCCAGCGACACAGTCATTACGCTAACTGCTGGTTCCCTGTCTGATAACCTTTTGCCATCTTTCAGTGAGCTTCAAAATTCTTTGTTCACAGAAGGACCTGTCTTTATCGGTGAAAAACTGTGCTGATTTACAGCCTCATCTGAATTGAACATTATCCCACACAAGGAATTTTGAAGACTACAAAACAAGTGGAACTCTGACTGTGCAAGGTCAGGAGAGTATGTTGGGTGTGGGACACATCCCATCCAAGCTCCAATAATTTTTTTTGGGGGGGGAAGAGATTTTCGCTATAGGGTGCATGCGCTCACCAGACAGACAGAGAGAGACAGAAAGCGAGAAATCACCCCCCAGGGGGGATGGTCACGCCGCAATCCCTTCTCCTCCATTCTCCTCTCGGGATTCTGGGCATGCATGTGCACGCACCTGGCTTGAGTTTTAAGCCACCAGGTCCGGGACGCGAACCGCGATCTATTACATGGAAGTCCAGCGACATAGCCATTACGCTAACTGCTGGTTCCCGCAAGCTCCAATAATTTTTGACAGGTGATCAACTTATGTGTGATCTCACATTGTCATAATAGAACACAACTCCTTTATGATTAACAAGCTCTGGATGATTCTGGATGATGGATTTATTCAAATTGTCCAGTTATCGACAGTACACATTTGAATTGACTATTTGGTTTCTTGGTTGGAGCTTGAAAAACATGACATGCCTTGAAAATCCCACCACACTGAGAGTATAACCTTCCTCTGATAAATGCCTGCTTTCCATGTCATTTGAGGTGAATCATCCACACCAGGACCAAGACTGTTTGCACACCATATTGTTGTAAACAATCCAGTTCTCATTACCAGTTATCAGTTGCTTCAGAAAAGAATTGTTTTTCTCACTTTCAATGAGCATATCACAGATGTTTATATGCGCTGTCAAGTGAACTTATTTGAGTTCACAAGGAACTCAAATATCAAGCTTGTTTATATATCCCAGCTTCTTCAGGTGGTTCTGAAAGCTTAAATGATGGCTGTTCAATGTTTCAGCAACCTCTGTGTTGTTTATCCTAGGTTTAACTCGATCAATGCCTTTACTTTGTCATCATCTACCTTGGTAGTCCTCTCTGATTGAGAAGGGTCATTGAGATAAAAATCACCAGCATAGAATTCCATGAACCATCATTAGCATTGAGGTTCTTGTAGAGCATTATTGCTGTAAACTTTATAGAAATTGTCATAAGCTTGACGTATGTTCTTCCCTTTACAGAAGTAAAACAGTAAAATATGGTAAAAAAAAAAATACCCAGTTTGGTCCTTCATCTTCAACTTGCTGTAAAAATTTCCAAAAACTCAACCAAATCACTTAATTTTTTTCTTTTTAGAATAAAGCTAGAACTGTTAGCTGTCAAATGATGTAGAAATAATATAAATGTGAATTACTGGTACTTCCCAAAATAAACTAGCACCATCTGTTGCAAAAAACACATCATGGCTTTTCGTCCTCTTTCTCCTGTCTTGGAACCTGTGAAGGTCCGCTAGGAACAGGACTTCTAAAATGAAACTATGTCTGGAAGGCTGTACTCCAAGGCCATTTTTGCTGGCTATGGCTATGAGTGGGGCCTCAGGAAGCAAAGGGAGCACACAGCTCTTCTTAAAATTGAAGGTGATATACACAAGATGAAACAGAATTCTATTTAGGCAAGAGGTGTGCCTATGTGTACAAAGCAAAAAAAACCCAGAAACTCATGGTGGCAAACCAAATAAAACCAGAGTAATCTAGGGAAAGGTTACCTGGGCCCATGGAAACAATTGCATGATAAAGGCCAAATTCCAAAGCAACCGTCCTGCTAAGGCCATTGGACACAGAATCCGTGTGATGCTGTACCCCTCAAGGATTTAAAATAATGAAAAGTAAATGAATAAAAATGGGGAAAAATGCATCATGGCTTTTCCAACAACTCAATATTACACCAGCACCTTTAATATCTTTTTTTTTTTTTAAGAGAAATTTTTGCTATACGGCACATGTGCTCACCAGAAATCACCC